CTTGCACCTAATCTCAATCATGACAAAAGTCGCATTTAGAGTTTCTTTCAGGCGACTCTACTTGGGGGGGGGGGGAGAAGGGGACTCCCACACCCCAAAGCACGCCTACTGTCCCATTCAACGAAATAGAATTATCCACTTTTACCAGTGTTCGCTCCCTCCCAGAAAATTTAGTCCACCTCCACCCCCGAAAATTTCAGGAAAAGTTCTGAAAGAAACTCTGGTTGCATTTGTAGATCATACAAACTAAAGGTATAGCCTATAATATAGACCCATTTCCTACTTTTGGCCGATAAACCTCACGCAGACAGTGTTTCTTTCAGACCTTTTTCCTGGGGTGTGGCACTTTAATTTTTGCAGGGGCGAATATGATTCTCCGAAGAGGGGGAGGCCGACAATGGTAATAGTATATATTTTCTATATAAATTATATTTCATTTGGAGGGGGGGGGGGTTAGGCTTTATACCGGGGGGTGGGCTTCTCCCCTACCCGAAGAGATGCATAATAGAAATTCTTCACACAAACCACTTTTAAGATTAGACAAATGGGTCAGGCGGTAATGCCAGTGTTTTTATTACAGAGTATTGTTGCCGCCATTACTAGATTGTGTTGCGTTTATTGTTTTTGTTGTATTATGTGTATATTTATTGTTTCGGTTTTGTTTTATGTGATAAATTGTTATGTATTGTCGGTCTGCATTGTGTTTTGTTCTTTTGTTTTCTTCTGAGTACTCTTTGAGAGTTTTCACTGTAGTGAAGCAATGACATAATATCTAGCCAGGAGTCTCAGCTCAAGGTGAATCCATCCCCATCATTGGGCACACAAGTCCAAACATTGAAAACGTTGTAGAATATCGACATGTATTGTAAATCAACTGTTGGATAAAGTGTAGTAGATCCAGAGGCGTAGCGAGGGGGGGGGGGGGGGGGCGGGGGTGCGGACCGCACCGGGTGACAACATTTAGGGGGTGACACCAAGGCAAAAAATAGCAAAATATATGGAGAAAAACTTGAGGGGGGGGGGGGTGTGCAAATCGAAAGTTTGAGGGGGGTGCAAATCGTAAATTTGAAAGTTTGTCCCCGGGAAGGGTCGCTACGCCTCTGGTGGGTGACACCAATAAGTGCCGCACCGGGTGACACCCGACCTCGCTACGCCACTGAGTAGATCTTACTTGTTGGGTGTTTAACAAATGTAGCAGAGCTTAAATGTTGGATGTTTAACAAATTTAGCAGAAATAAATTGTTGGATGTTTAACAAATGTAGCAGAGCTTACTTGTTTGATGTTTAACAAATGTAGCAGAGCTTACTTGTTGGATGTTTAACAAATTTAGCAGAAATAAATTGTTGGATGTTTAACAAATGTAGCAGAGCTTACTTGTTGGATGTTTAACAAATGTAGCAGAAATAAATTGTTGGATGTTTAACAAATGTAGCAGAGCTTACTTGTTGGACGTTTAACAAATGTAGCAGAAATAAATTGTTGGATGTTTAACAAATGTAGCAGAGCTTACTTGTTGGGTGTTTAACAAATGTAGCAGAGCTTAAATGTTGGATGTTTAACAAATGTACCAGAGCTTACTTGTTGGATGTTTAACAAATGTAGCAGAACTAAATCATTGGATGTTTAACAAATGTAGCAGAGCTTACTTGTTGGATGTTTAACAAATGTAGCAGAACTAAATCATTGGATGTTTAACAAATGTAGCAGAGCTTACTTGTTGGATGTTTAACAAATGTGATAGAGAGTGATAGAGATATGTCTGATAAACCTTGAGCTTCTTTTGTTGCGTGTAGAAAGTTTTTTGATATTTAAGATGTTTGACATATTTTGATTACAATTTTATTTTCCTCATCAACAAGTAAGTAGTGATTGTTTGTTTTTTTGTTTGTTTTTTTAAATTTTCTTTAAAAAAATGGAAGACATCTGTCAAATCTATACAAAGAAATTTTATTTGTTTTTTTTTTTCATTTAAATTTATGTTGCCATTTACAAAACAAAACAAATTCCTAAGGTTGTACAACTGGTCCTGTTAATTTTTGGGGAAAAATGTCTTAACAAACACGCAACAGCACTAATAGCAACACGCATGGAATGGGCAGAACAATATAATCTTTGTATTATTTTTTTTTTTACTGCTGATTGCATGGCCACTGTGAACAGACAGGCATTATATTTCAATATTTAATTTAAACAAGTTTTAAACAAAATCACAAAATTAAAAAAAATTTCCCGAAATAAATACTTAAGAAGAAATATGGTACTGCCCATCAAGAAAATTCCATTACTTACTATCAAAAGTTTACATAAATAACTAATCTTATAAATATAAAACAATTTTTCTTAAAATTGTATGGCAAAAACAAAATAATGAAAAGAAAATGAACACAGTATTTCTTGGTGTGCTTTAAATTAATATAATATAACTTTAAAAATCAATAAATTATTAAACTAATAAAAGAACCAATATTAGAACTTATTGAAAATATTTTAACCAATTTTCATGTTTGTAAACTCTTTTAAGTAGTAAGTTTAAAATGTTCTACATTTCGTACACAACTATTTTGAGTGGTTACATAATTACAAAATATCTAGTTATTATTTAATAAAAACCAAGAACTTTCTTTGAATGTCATCACCATAAAGTATAGGCCAAGCACTAAAATGTACATTGCTGTCAGCTTGAAAAATATGCTGGAAAATAAAAGTTAGGCAAGGAAAATCAACAAACCATATAAAATCTAAAAATAGTGTGCACAAGAAAAGGAAATAAAAAGTTGAACAAACATAACACAGGCTACTCTAAGTAGGACATTTTAAAATCTAAATCCTAATTATTATTTTTTTAAAAGGAACAAAACATTTACTTTAAAAAATATATTTTAGTGGAATTTTTTTTCTAAATGTGTTGAATTGACAAATAATTAAAATCAATAAACTTTTATGGCAAAATTACACTGACATTACTAAAGTTATGCCAAGGAACTGAATTTTTTTTTATGGAACAGTATTTAACACAACAGATCCAAAACACTTTGAATATATTGGAACTGTGAATCACATCTGCTACTGGTTGTGCTTTTTAACTTTACCATAACTACATTAGCAGTAATAAGCCAACCAACCATTACCAATACAAAATCAATTGAATGAAAGTTTGAAGAAAGTAAATTGTGTTTTGTCTTATTTCGTCATGATACATCTGCTAGCTAAGAGTTTGAAAGATGAATAACTTCAGATATTTAAAATAAAAAAATTATTTTGTTTTAGCTAGATTTCATAAAAATGAAAACAATTCTTCTATCAAGCGAAAAATTTCCTGCAAGCACATTATTGAAAACAAAAAAAAAGAAATAATTTGTATAACTTAGCTTGAAAAAACATTATAGTCCAAAAACAGATTTTGCACTGTTTACTATAATTAATTTTCTTACTAGGTGTTGATGTTCATTATTTTATTTTTACCCTGGTCATGTATGTTTTGTGATTTTCAAAAATTTAAAGTACACTTTTTAAATACACATTTTTAGCAGTTTATAGGTGGTAAACTAAAAAAAAATTATTATCAAAATGAATAATTACAAATTTACAAGATAGAAGTAAGAATTATAATTTTTTTTTTTAATAAAAATTGATCCTTGTCATGAACAGGCTGAAAAACAAAATTTGTTGTTGACGAAAAACAGATCAAAGCAGTAAAAAAAGATTAAAATATAATTCTACATATTTGCATAGCATCTATACATTCAAATAAAATTGTATAACAAAAGGTGTTCTTCACGAGTATTATAAATGGTGTGTAGAGGTAACAGTAACTAAGATTATATCACGAAAGACAATTGCTAAGTCCATGTCATGGGTCACCAGGACTAAAATAAAACACACTGACATTTAGTCAGTAGTTCATACAATAGTGTTTACAACAGGAGCAAGCAAAGGTAATTACCTATTTTTGAGTGGTTAAATTTAAGATAAGTTTTTTGTTAATGAAATACATTATTCCTAATTTGAAATTTCTAGGACATTCTTAAAATCAAATTGTTTTGTTTATGAGTAGCCAGAATAGAGTGCAAGCTGTTGAGATTTACAGTATTTTACAGATCTAAACGTGGTTGTGATTTTATATTTTTGCTAAATTTTAAGAACAACAAAATGCAAATATCAAGAATATTTTGTGATATCAATTGTGGTATGGATACAATTTCATAACTCAGCTTGTTTCCATACCAACGATCACATGGGCATCTTTAGCCAATAATTTTTCTAGTTATAAATTTAAACTTTTAAACATAAGACTTTCAATTTGATTTAATGAACATCTTTTATCCCATTTTAAACATGTAAGCCAACTGCTTTGTATCAAAATAACATATTGAAGAATATTTATTTTTCATTATAAACACATTTTAAACATTCACAACCATATTGTTAGCGGAAAAAAAAACTGTACAGAAGAATGTACTATCATACACTTATAAAAACATCACAGGGACTTGTGTATGTTCAACTACACATTGTTTGATTTCACGTATAGAGATTTGAACCAACATATGAACCCTGTACAGCAACACAGACCTTCTCGTTCCGCCCTCAACAGGTTTTTATTTATAGAACACAGGTGAGGTTAAAGGTTAAATCTTTAATGGAAGCTCAAGCTATTTAGGTACCATGTAATCAAACGGGCACCAGTCAATTTTTTAATAAAAAAACTCTATAACTCTACTCTACATTATGTCGAAAAACACCTAAACATCGAAAGGTTAGTTTTAGAGTAGAGTCTAGATGTTATTTGATGCTTGATATAGATTCTATAGCGTTTCAAATATTCCAACAGCAAAAACGTTTTTTTTTATGTGGATTGTAGATACTTTTTGCTGAAACATTTTACTTAGAAGCGATAAAAAACAAAATGTACTAAATCTAACATACAATCTTTTAAATAAAAGAATTCTGTGTCTTTGCCTTTAGGAACACAGTGTATATCATGGCATAGTTCAAAAAGTCATTTTTTTTTTAAAAAAAGCTTATTAAAGTAATTAAACAAATAGTTTTTCATCTACATATTTATCTTACAGTAAACTATTACTGAACTTTTAATATATTTGGATAGTTTTTAATATTGCCAACACTCTAATTCAATAAAAAATATGCTACATTCATGAACCTTGTATTTCAGAAAATGTGTGATGTATGCATTAATATAAACTCACTCTGGAAGACAAGACACAGTGTATGTAATTTTTAAAGTTCATACAACTGTCCTGATCAATGACACTAGTCTAAGCTCTTTAGCATAGCGCAGTAAAGGCCAGTAATTCAGCACTGTATAAGTGGTTCTCAAAGTGTCAAGTTTGACACTGAACCTCCAGGGGTGCCCTCCTACATCTTGGACTGAGTCTACCGTTTTCCTCAGTTTTACCAGCTTGCCCATAATGCACTGTTAACTTTTCTACGGCTTGCGCTTTCCTTTCTTTCTGCGTGACCCTGATTTGCCTTTCCTCTGCGCTTTCATGGCCTCCAGAGTTTGTCCTTGTAGCACATCCAAATGGTTCTACAAAAACATTTTTATATTTGATTTATCAATTTATAAAAATATATTTTATCCTCTACACAACAATGATCATTTTTTTTTATTATATTTAGTTGATCGACTCATAAAATTACAATTTAAACTTTATTTCTAAAATGAAAATTTAACATTATTGTCTATCCACTGAATTTAATTTCTTAACTCTGAAAATTATTATTTTCTTTTTTACTTACGGGACTGACAGTCCTTAAAATTATTACGCTATTCAAAATAAACATCTTTTATTATAAGAAATATTCACGCAGCTCTTTACAATAAAAGTTTAATCAAATCACCTGTATAACTCGAATGTCTAGGTCTGTGCTCTCTGCCATCTTCTCCAGGGCAGCAAATTCTTTTTCACAGGCAAGTCTTTCCTCATCACTGTTGGCCCTTTGTCTTTTGTCATGCACAGCCATCCTAAAGTTTAAAGGTTAAATATTTGAGTTCGTCAATCTTAACAAAAGCTCATTACCACAATAACTTCTGGTAGCAGCTGTTTGATTGATTTTGCACACATTTTTACAAGATAAACCCCATATTATTTAATTTTTGTATCTTTTTCTGCATTACTAAAATATTTAGTAAATAGAGTGATTGACATCAGGAAGATCCATTTGGGTATGCATTGTATTTTTATTGTAATATAGATTTTAATTCTGCATTCTGTTTAAAATTCAATGGAATCTATTTTACTAAAATACTATTTTTAAAGATATAATAGTACTTTTATTCTTAATATATTTTAAAATTACTTTATACATTTTCGAATTCAAATTGTGCATAACTCAACAAAGATAATAAACCAATGGTGCCTGGCTGCAACTTTGGATAATTACACTTACCTTTTCTTTTTTATCCTTGACAATTTGTCTTTTAACTTTTCTAAAGCGGATGTTAGCTCCTCCGATGTTGTCTGAGGGTTGTCTACAAGGGAGGTAATGTTTTCCATAGTTGGGGTGATGGGACTTTCTGCTGTTAAATCATAATAGAGCTTTGCTTTAATTGTTCACATGTAATAATAGAATTATAGAATTTTATTTAAACTCATAAACTGAAAAAGCAAGCAGAGTACAACATAGTCAATTTAGTGTAGGTTATAATGATATATAATGATATATAACATAAAAACCTCTAACTATACAGTTTTTATTTGAAAATGCAAAAGGCAAGATTTCATACTAGTATAAATTGAGCAATGTTATGATGAGTATTATAAAATAGATTAATGAATTCATAGTGTTGTTTTTAGCGCAATTTCCATTCTGGAGAATTGCGTTTATTAACTCGTCATTTCTGGGAATGGATGGATGAATGTATGGATGTGTGTCCGCAGCTTTAAGTCGTATCTCCTCCTCAACGAAGCAATATCGATGACTAGTTACAAAAACAATTATGTTAAGCAAGTTACGAGGATGAACATAGGCCATAAAAATTCCGGGTTTCTTTCATGGATTTCCCGGAAAAGCCAAAAAACCTCGGAAAAATGCAGTTTTTTGCCCATATCTCGGCAACCAGACCACTTAGCGACTTGAAACATGCACCAATCGATTCCTGCTATAATTTAGAACAATATTGTCGAAGAAAGTTTTCAAAAATATCCTTTCGTTTGGTCACAAAATTTTTTTTGAATTAATTAAAATTTGGACCGAATTAGTAGGCATTTTATGCAACCACACCACACGCGTCATCACGTTTTATAGCTGCGCCATCACGTTCAATATCTGCGACATCACGCTCGGAAGCTAGGCGCGCAATGGTTTTTAGTCATGTTACTCTATTGTAAATAAAACATGTAAAATACTGAAATTTTTTTAAATAAAAAACGTTTTAATAACTAACCAATGGTTTTACTAACCCTGCTGTTGATTTACGCTACGACAGGGCTATTTTTAGATAACGTAAGGAAATTGCGCTAAAATTGTCACTAGACTTTTTTAAATTACTTGTTTTCAAATAGTGTCATCTTAACTCGCTGAATCAACAAAACCAACGAGACTTAGAATAATGTAATCAAATTCTCCAACGAGAATTAGAATAATGTAATCAAATTCTTCAACCAGATTTAGAATAATGTAATCAAATACATTCAAACAAACTGTTTAAGGTTAAGATAGAATGGTTTGGTAATATGTGAATCAACATTTATAAGGTGTAGTGGTCTATGGTGTTCATGCGCTTGGTAATATGTGAATCAACATTTATAAGTTAAAGTGGTGTATGGTGTTCATAGGCTTGGTAATATGTGAATGAACATTTATAAGGTGTAGTGGTCTATGGTGTTCATAGTTGTTTTAGTCAAGGTCCGGATAATGTGGTTTATATGAAGCTGGACGAGTCAAGTTCTGACAGACCAGTTCATTAGTTTAAAAAATTGAAGAACCCAAAACACTCACCACGAATGGATGAAACAGGGCTCAAACTGCTCGACCTCGGGGTCACTGCCTGACCATTGCAGGAAGTGCTGGGTGAACTTTGACCCAACGCTAGAGGCGACACTTTGAGATTTCTCCTCTCACTGGGCTGGGGTGGGGTTCTGCTTGGGGTTTCGAATTCCTGAGCTTCTAAACAGTTATTTATAGAGCTGTTGTTGTACGGCGTGGGTGATAAGCTAATATCAGACGGTGCAGTTGGTGAGGATGATGCGATAGGGGTCAAGGACCTTTGAGGTGACGTTCGGGGACTGGGAAGAATTCCTTCATTCAGAGATACTTCTGCAAGTTCTGGAACTGGCGTTGTTGGCACCAGAGGGATCTGCTCCTCGCTGAGACACACCTCTATCGTTTGAGAATCATTATTATTGTTGGCAAGAGAAGCTATATCCAACACTGGCGATGTAGTCCTATGGTCGGATTTAACCACACTTGTTGGTTCCGGGGAAGCGGATTTAGTGGATCTTTTCACCACGACAGAGTACTCCTCCCCACTAGGGGAGAGAACCCTTTGACTGGAAGCATAGGTGAAAGAGCTGGATTGTTTTAAGCTGAACCCTGTTGGCCTCTTGAGATAGCTGAGCGAGTCCATCAGACTAGCCACACTGCTGCTCACCTGCGGGGTGGATATCTTCACTACGTGCGCCTGTTGGTGAGTAGACTCGGAATGCTGGGACAAACAGTTATTTGAGTTGTGATCCACGCATGCATTCGTACAATGCTCTTCCGATGAAGGAGTATTACAAGTGTTACTTGTCTTCTTATCCTCAAGCGGACTCAGAATTGGAGTTTTAATGACTAGATTACCCTTAGAAGAAAGCTCCGCGTTTCTGAAGCTCCGTGAATTTAAAGTCGCGTACCCACAATCCATTTCCTCCGCTTCCCGCGTACTGTTTTCACAACCGCTGTCGCTGTCTGAATTAACTCCCTTCACACTGTAAAACCCGCTGTCTGTCGTGTGTTTATTTTTGTTGTAAGACGCCAAATTCTCCCCAAGTTTAGGGTTCTCTGTTTCCCCATCCTGTTTGACCTCCGCCTGTTCTGTGGTGCACACGTTCTCAGCGCAGTTCAAATTCTCCTCAGATTTACTGTCTGCGACACCCATAGCGGAATGAAATTGTTTGGCTGTGAGGGTTGTATCCATAGGATCCTCATATTCAGTAGAAGATAAAGTCTCTTTGCTGGGCATCATATCCTATTCAAATGTAAAAGGAGATTAAAAAAAATGTTTTTACAAAAATACTTGAAATAAAATCAGATATTTTTAAAAACTTTGTTTATAAATTAATGAAATGGCTCCTACAAAATACACCTGATTAAAAAATTAGTCACACATTAATGTGCAAAAAAGAATAAAACAAATTATTAATTTAAAAACCTGCATTAGAGCATGAATCAGAAATTTTTGAGTTAAAAATAAAGTAGTGCAAAAACTAATAGAATCTCAGTAATAAATTTGTAAGATATACAAATTTTATATAATTTTAGAACATAAATAAGGTTTGAACCGTGTGTATCACATAAGTGAATGGAACTTTTAAACTCACCCATTGTTTCAGTACAGTAAAACTCAAAAGACTGGCCGCGTCTGCTTCTAGAACTGGATCCTTCAGGTAATCTTCAAGTCCCTCCGGCACAGACGGTGTAGAGGTCTCAGCCAGGAGAGTACGCACCCAAAATTTCATGTCCTCTTTTGATAAGGGCTAAAAATAAATAATGAAATTATTTGAACACAACACACATTGTAACTATATTATTTCTTTTCTTCACTAAATAGGCTACTGTTTCACTTGTTAATAATAATTTTGTTTCACATTAAAATATACGTTGATAAAACAATTCACTTGCTTAAAAATATCTTGTGAAAAGCAAATACATAAATAAGGATGATTTTACTATACACAAGATTTTGGTATTTATTTTCAACTAACAAACGAGATTTTCATTCTTGCCATATAAATTGTATCTTTAAGAGTTAAACCACTTAAAAATGTAATAACAAAACCTAACTAGTAATTTTACTTCTTCTTGTAAATTTAAAACAAAGATAACTAATCTACAAGTAATTTTATTTTCTGTATACCTTCTGTATTACTACTGTAAACCTACTGTATGCCTAGTGTTATTTTCTCTTTTCTTTAACAAAAATTCAAGAACTACAAATATTACCATGGATATATCTGGATTATTTTCTCTTTTCCATAAAAACCATCTTGTTATTGAAAATAAATTTAGTGCCAGTACCTCAACTGTTACTTTCTCAATTATCTAACCATTTATAACCATCTAAAATTATTGACACTAAATTAAGTTTTTTCCTATCAACAACCCAATTACTGAAAACAAATTGGTTCCAGTACCTCAACTGTTATTTTCTCAATTCTCTAACCATCTAAAACCATCTAATTATTGACAATAAATTAAGTTTTTTCCTATCAACAATCCTATCAACAATTATTGAAAACAAAATGGTTCCAGTACCTCAACTGTTATTTTCTCTCTCCCCCCTTCCATGATCATCAGTCCCAGTTCACTGTTTGTCTCCGCTAGCGCTCGCCGCACGACGCATGGCCTGAGTAGGAAGTTGAGCTCAAACTGTTTGCTGTGGTCAGTGCGATAGCACTCAAACATGTTGTCTCTGACCAGGCACCAACGTTTGCCCCACCTCCTCTTGTTAAAGCTGCTAAAGATATACAGGTAGCCTGTGGAAAAATAAAATCATTTTACTAAAACAATGTACATTAGGCTATAGCAAATTTGGGAAAAATTTTAAATAAATGTGATTTTTTAAAAATTAAATAATGCTTAGTATAAGATAGACATATCCAAATGATAAGAAAGTTATTGAAGTTAATTACTTATTCATGAAAGCGTTTTTATGTATCACAAACAGTATTATAAGTAAAAACAAAAAGTACAAACAAGTATTTTAGTTGCCTTGAATTAGTAAACGGAGAATTCTTGTGGTTATTTAAAAATAAAAACAATAAATTTAAATAATGTAAATTACTAATTGTCCAAACTACTTTTAATAATTTTTTTTTTTTACATAAATAACTTTTTCTATAAAAGTAGTCCTATATAATAAACATTCACGTTTTTAATAACAATAAATGCTAAAATATTTTAGAAAATCATTTGAAACAAAAAGGTTTACCAAACAAAATAACACAAAATACAACCATCATACTGGATCTACGTTTGTAAAATATTTCCCAAGTTGGATGAGTTTAAAATTTTTCCAAATAAAAGCATATCACCAAATATTTTTAAAAACTCATATCATACTTTTTAAAATTTAAAAATATAATTTGTATATTTGCTGTAACTCCTTGCATTAAAAAATCATTCAAATTATAAAACACAACATAAAAACTGTTAATAAAAAAGTTAAAAGTTGAAGATGGGATAGAATGTAAAAGTAAGAAATAGAACAACTAAGGCTACAGTCCACAGCCACCCTGAAACAAAACATAAAGGCAATAAGCTTCCACCATAAACTTATATAAACAGAAAAACAATTAATTTTGAATTAAAACCACTAACCATTATAAACTACTTAACTAGTAATACAAATTATGATTTTTTTCTAATTTTAAATAAAGAAAATAAATTAATACGGATCTAGTAACTATAGTGTACCGATTAAAAAAATATCCATACCTTGTAAAAAAAAAGTTAATGTAGTACAATTAATTTAAAGAGATCCTTACCTTTAAGAATAGCATCAGTCATATTATCCTCTTCAGCTTCCAAGAAGCTCTGTTTATCAGAGAACACAGACAAAGGCGAGTGCTTATCTAAGGGTGTGCTGGGCGCTGAGAAACTGTAGCCATCGCTGAGGTCAGAGGTCGGGGTGAAAACAGATGGGGAGATGTTGCCTAGAGAGGTGGAGGAGGAGAGGGAGGACTCCTCGGCTATACCAGTTCGAACGTCGCTGTAGTCTCCGGAGGACACGGGGGTCATGCGGCTGTTTGGGCTGTGGCTGTGCTTGCGTGGCTTTGTGGATTTCTTTCCGATGTTCTCAAAAAACTGGGTGGCTCTAAATGCAAAGGATCCCATCCGCATAACTTTGTTGCCTAGTAACCATAAAAAAAAAATCATATGTAATCTTACATTAATTTATCTGAAATAACCTAGTCACATAGTACGATAAATAAAAGTCATCTTGGATTAATTAACTAAATAAATATATTATTAATCATTTTAAATTTTGATATTTAACTAAAGAAAAAATATTTATTTATATAATATCTAACAGAAACCAATTCTTTAGGACTTCAGAATAAGTAGTCTATCATACAATTTTATTGGGCAAAAATGTAATTACAGTAATAAGTATTACCTAAAATGGATGTATGTAATTACAGTAATAAGTATTACCTAAAATGGATGTAAAATCAGTAAAAGAAATAAAATCCAATTTCCAACAAGAGAAAAATACAACAACAAAGTAAACTGTCTGATGAAGGCTGTTGTAAATGGCCTATGATTCATTAGGAATCAATTAAGGCGACGAAGAAATTGTTCTCTAATTGTCAATTTGTGTCTCTCCTACTAGATCTATCTCAAATGTAAACAAACCTCTCAGTCTTGGCTTTGAACTGTCATCTAATAACAATTTTGTTTGCTAATTGTCAATGTGTTTGTAACTGTCATCTAAGAAAAATTTTTGTTTGCTAATTCTCAATGTGTTGCGCAGCTCCTACTAGATAAATCTAAAATGTAAACAAACCTCTAAGTCTCGGCTTTGAACTGTCATCTAATAACAATTTTGTTTGTTGATTGTCAATGTGTTGCGCAGCTGATACTAGATTATATATATAAAATATATACAAACCTCTAAGTCTTGGTTTGTAACTGTCAGCTAATAAAAATTTTGTTTGCTAATTCTCAATGTGTTTCGCAGCTCTTACTAGATATATCTAAAATGTAAACAAACCTCTAAGTCTCGGCTTTGAACTGTCATCTGAAGCTCCCTCACTCCCAGTTGATAGATTAGAATTTGACCCTGTGAGGTCTGTCTAAAAACATTAACAGAATTAAAATTAATTTATTGCTAATTAAAGTAGTTTGGAATATATTTGGTATGAAATATAAACAATACTTTAGATAATTTTAATCACTAATGAGTGCTGTATGTGATTAACACACTGTTACATGGTACTAATTTTTGTAATGAGAACTGTTGATAATTCATTTTAAAAAATAAAGAATAGAATACTTATAAATTAAAATGGTTGTGGTAGTCCAGTTTTTAAAAATGTAAGTAAAATAGAGACACAAAAACTGGGTTTTTTTTTAATTTTCAATTTGTAATAAATTTGTAGCAAATTGATATATATATATTTTTTTGTAGTTTAAAAAATAATTCAATGATACAATAATGAAGTTAAGAAATGTTAATTTTTAAAACTATTACCTAATTCTGCCACTGGTTAAAAAAAAAATACAAAAAAACTTGTAAAATATCTATTAAATCATAGACTTTGATAATAAAGGTAAATCATAAGGGCTTTCTTTATGATAAAGTAATTTATAGAGTTGCTCCCCTTTTATCACACAGAGTAGTTTATCATCAAATGTAGAAACAATTATGCAGAACACCAGCATTCAAAAATGCAACATACCAGTTGTATAAATGTGTAAATTAAAAACTGGCATAATCTGTAATTAAGCAATAGAATTTATAGACAGTAGGCCTATTTCGACAATGTATTAAAACATCAAATAATTATTACAATACATAGGCACAATGCAAGGAATTAATTAATATTCATTCACTACCTAAATAAATCAGCTTATACTAGGTAAAAAACTAGGTAAATTTTTTAAAAAAATTATTCATTTAAGACTAAATATTACATTTATGCTCGGACTAACATTCATAAGAAAAAATAAATACATGCAATATTTGATGATATGAGGGGGGAAGAAATGACAATGGCTATGCACAATTTTTAATCATTCAGTTAATTTACAGCAGGGGTCTCCAAACTACGGCCCGCGGAGATCTTTTTGTCCAAGGAAAAATTGTTTGTCGGTGATTGCTGAGGAACTTTGCCCAGAAAAATCAAGACATGCCTGGAAGAAACTGGCCCCCGAACTGAAATTTCATAGTTAATGCGGCCCTCGGACTTAAAAGTTTGGAGACCCCTGATTTACAGTAATAGAGAACAAATCCAAACAGAGATAAAGGGCTAAAAAAAAAAAAACTCAACATGCTGGAAAAAACAAAACTAGGGAATCATGCCAGGTAAAACTTCCAAACATAGGCCAAAAATATTTTCATGACTCAACCATAGTCCAGAGCTAACCAATGCTCAGCAAGACACAAGGACAACCATTGCTCCGCAAGGCAACAGGACATTCAGGGACATCCAAGTCAACAAGTAGTCAGGCAATAAACGACAACTCACTCCTCTGAACGCCAGGATAATCTGGTCTAAAGGCATGGCCCAGTTGTAGAAAACACTTTTCCAATCCCATCTCGCCATTGACAAATTAGCCGCGCCTCGGAGAATAACCGGGGTCCTGATTTCACTAGGGATGAGCTTCTTCCCTTGAACACTCGTCACCATCCCTTCCTCTTTATCTTTCTCCTGACAAAGTTCCTTCCCTTGAATCTGGTACATTCCTCGCTGCCTTCGCTTGAGAATATCTTTCATCGTGGCTCCAATAGTTTTATCTCTCTGTAGAGTGCTAGCGTGCCTGGCTCGTGGTGAGACTTCCATGGACAACGTCTTCGCCAGCCTCTTGGGTGACCTCTCACTGCGGAAGTGCCTGGACAACAAAGTTTTGGCCCTCTGGGACACATCAGCGCTGTTCTGGCTAGGGCTGGAACTAGTGCATGTGCTCTCTGAGTCTCCCTCCTCTTCAATGAAAAGATCGTCAGGTTCCTCACGTTCAATCTCATCGTACTCTACATCCTCTAAGTTCCCAAAGCTTGTTGTGGGCTGATAAGGGCAACATGTTTTATATAATCACAATAGTTTACATGAAGGCAAACAAATAATACTAAATATATGTACATTTTATTAGTATAAATGTTATACAAGATAAATCTATATATATATAAAAATATCAACCAAATTAAGAAAAAATTAGTATTCAAATATCCTTCAAGCAGGAAACCAGCTCCCCCTCCCCCCCCCCCACCCTCTCAGATATGTTGATATAAGATCAAATTAATACTATCCTAAGATAATTATACTAAAAACTTTTTATTTACTATTTAGCAATTACTATTTAAAACATTAAAATATATTTCAATTAAGTGGAAAAGTAAAAACAGCTGAAAGTATTTTTTGTTATTTGAAGAATGTGATAGAGATTGATTAAAATTAAGATCTATAAAAATAGTTATTATCTTAGGTTTGTGAATGTAGTCTCTATAGTTATGTAAAGAAATAGGCCAATATTTATCATTACAAGCTAGCAAGCGGTAAAAACAATTTACAGAAAATTATATTGAAATTAGATTTAGGGTAGGCCAATACTATAAGTTTAAATATGAGAAATTACAAATCTTAATAAGCAAAATATAAAATCCTACATTAAAAAAAACACCAAGGTGAAAAACTTTGAATAATGATGTACTAAACTAAAGTTTTCTTAAAGGAAAAAATAAATATAACATCTACACATATTTTTTTTAATAACAAATATAACCATAATATTGATAACAATATGTTTATAAAAATTACATGCCTAATATAGCCATGCATAAGATTGGTGTACCTAAAAAACAACCTAAAATGTGTTGGTGTGTAAGAAATATAATTTAAATCATAGTAGAAGTCCCAACATTTATTAAGTGTAGTATACTTTCATAGCTTGTTTTCCTATTAATGCATATTTATGTAGCACTGTATTTTTTTGTGAGATTATATAATGTATGTTTAGATCCTTCATCATGTTAACTAATGGGTCTGACTTACCTTGCTGCCAAAAGTGGCACCTGATGTGCCATATTCTGTATTTCCAGTGAAGGACCTGGCCAGGTGTGTGTGATACTTAGGAGGGGGCGTACCTTTAGATGAGCCATTGATGTGCTGCATGTAATAAAAA